GATAACTGCATTTAGGGCTTCTAATTTTTCTTCCTTTAACGAGTCGGATTTCACATTCCTTTCCATAAAAACCCTGTTGTCCTATTGTAGTTCCCAAGTACTTTCATTCTCATTATTTCTCCAGTTTCCATAGTCAATACATCATGTGTACTGCCTAGAGTCCAGTATACCGTTTTTTCTAGGTTGAGACTTAGTCCCCATTTCTCATAATCTTCTTTTATCTTCGTAGTCATATATTCAATATCTTCTTGTTCTTGTGCCATCAGCACCTGATCATCAGCAAACTGTATAGTATAGAGTGTTGTGCTATCATCAATTGGTATTCCTATCCCAACACATTTTCTTTTCCATACCTGTAATACCGCATTAACATACATTTTAAAGAGGGTAGGTGACAAACAGCATCCTTGCCGTAGTCCTTTTGATATAGAAAATGTTTGGGTCGCCTGTTTTCCAACTTCCAAATATAGTGTATTAAAATAGTTTGAATTAATATTGTAATAAATATTACACTATTGACACGCGTGACGACACGCGCTCCCCGCCACGGTCCACGCACCACGCCAAGGATGGAGCGCTCCACTATACTGCGATTTCTTCAAAACTGCCTCTGGCACATCAGCCGTTAGGGTGCTCTTCATTCGGGACCTTACACTTCACTACAGTGACGACTTTAATTGGTGTTCAACCTTCCGATTGGGTGCAACCAAAACAGCTGATTTAAGACACAGGCAGCTATTGAAAAATCGCAGTATAAGCGTCGTCGCCAGCTCATTGAAAGTCCGTACCTGACCTTGCCGAGCGCGCGTAACGACTTGGACACGACGGTCAGGGCACTACCCGCGTCAATTGCCAGTCTAAAACTGAAACATTTTTTAAGCTGGTTTTCGTAGTTTTCGAATACGACGCCGCGAAGGACATGGGACTTTTTGGGGCAAGATGGCAGGCAATGCGAGCAGTTGATGTGTCCTTTCGTTTCAATCGCGCTCTAAACTCCCACTTTATAATTGGGGTGGCAAAATAAATGCAGAAGTATGAAAAAATGAGTGGAATATTATCAGGTAACGTAGTTTTCCGTTCCGAGGCATTGATATAATCAAAAGAAATTGGTCTGTGTTGTGCCACAAAAAACAACTAAAAAAGCAAAGTTTATATTGGGTAAAGTACTCGGTAATGAACAGATTATTATGAGAAATGTGCTGAGATTAAATACTAATAATTATTCTTAAACTGTGCAAAAAATACTATTAAATCACATATGTAAAAACTTGTAGCGGCTAATGTTGCTCAAACTGATGCCACTGTCTCTAAGGGTTTGAGTCCCGATGGTGGCAAGATTTTCGACACCAGCTACATAACAAGGTCGGATTCATCCTGGAGGAGAATTCTAGCAGCTGGTTGCTGTGATCGGTAGTTTTCTGTGTTTTATCCGATCATCATCAGGCGAATGCCAATGCGTACCCCATAAACGGTCCGCGCGCGATCATATCTTCCTCTTCCTTGTCCTATCATCACCCTTTACTTACACACTTACACACAAATGTACCACATTACCACACATGTCTGGAGACACGTCGAGAGTTTAGAGCTTATCCAATCTGAGGATGAGCCCTGATGGTGGGAGACACCTGAATGTGGAAAACCCCGAAAACCGACGTGTAGGTCGGCGCCAGATCTCAGCATCCAATGGGAAAAGAACTGTGCCACCTCCCGTGTTAAAGACATGAGACAAATGACAAATGACCATAGGAGTTGACGCGACCGGAGACAGGAAATAATTAATCAATCAATTGTAAAAATTGTACAATCCAAGTTAGAGAATCTAATCAACCGACCTGTACACTAACAATAATAATATTATTACCCTACCTTACTAACAATAAGAAAAATGCATTAAAATTTTTTCGTGAGTTATATTGTATTAACATATAATTAAAGAATATATTAAGAGAATACAATCTATTGCAAATACGAATTTCTCATAGTACAGTAGAGACATTTATTTTATGATTATTATTATTATTATTATTATTATTATTATTATTTATTATTATTATTATTACAAGCCCATTATATTCCCATAAGGGCTCGGGCCTCCTGGTTTCCTAAGTGTTCTACAAGTGCTTATGGCCGTACAATTTGGTTGAATACAAACTATGAATGAATAAATTTCACCCATAATAAGCTGGTATTGATTACTACTAATTAAACAATTGGCATGTAATGTGGCAATTGCCATTGTATTAAAAAGATATAAATAAATATATTTTATAAAAAAAATTTCACAAAATTATCCAAATTTAGAAAACTAAATAAACACCCAAATCGAATCCAGCGCCCCGCACGGAGAAGCACCAAACTAGGCTCAACTCAGTTCCACAAAGACCGCAGAACAAGCAGGCCCGTTTATTCGCTGGCCGCGGTGCACCAGCCATGTCCCCGGGCGCGAACGCCCCTCTGCGCGAGAGCGCGTCGGACGCCGACAGCGCGGCGAGCGGGCACAGCTTCGAGTCGGAGGACGATTCGTCGCTGTCGGAGGCGGTGGCCCGCGCGCTGGATTCAGTCAGCCCTTCCATCACCGTGGCCTCGTGGGCCACCTCCAGCACCCAGGACGAGGAGGAGGAGGAAGAAGAGGAGTTGGGGTCCGCTGGCGATTGTTTTTCGGCCACGCCGCGAATGATGTTCGGGCCGGCCATGTTGAGGCGGAAACGAAGATTGCAATGCCACAGGTAAGCCCTGTGCTTTCTTAATCGTGATACTACTATTGAGGCGTCTGTTTGTTTGTTAATCGCCAAAAAATGCGTGCTTTCCCCTTGTGGACGAGAGATTTTTGTAAAATTTTTCCAAGGGGAAGGAGTTGGTTTTGCTCGCAAGCGCCTCCGTTGTAATATTACGTACTAAACCATAAGTTTGTAGAACATTAACCTTTTAGTCCACTCACAGTTTTTGAAGCATTAGTGTTTATTTGTAGCCGAACGGTCAAAACCGCGGGTAGCGTATGGGGGAGAAAGTATAAATTGTGCTAGTTTCCTTGAGCTCCAAATCTAGTACTAATTTACATGCAAATTGGATTATGAAACGAAGTACCAATGAGCATTTAAACGCTGTAAAACCGCAGTTTTCGCTCCTAATAAATAAGACATATTTTTATCGGCAAACGAACTGCTGATTTGATTTGGTAATATTTTTGGCGAAATATCCCGACTCCGCCCTACGATGTCCCATAACAACCAAAAGGGTAGATCAACAAGACGTGCGTATATTGACCTGTACTTATGTTCTGCAGCAAAGAAAGGGAACTTTACCGCACTTTTTGTTATTTATTATTGTTAAAATGATTTCATATATTTAAATTCTACCAGAAAAACGGCATTTATTAAATGGGTCAAGGATCCTGATCATCATTTACAAATATAATTGGCTAATTCATTTACTTGTCAAAATCCACCATTTTTCATTTCGTTTTCTAGGGGTGAGTTTAGGGTATACTTCGTTCCTTCGATAAAAGTTCAAATTCATCTTAGTCTTACATAACATGTGGCGAGTACATAGCTCGTTCAAATCAAACTGTTTGTGGTAACAATATTTTTGTTTCGTGAAATCTTTGTCAATGGAACGAACTGATTTTGCTCACAAATTCCTCAAAGCAAAACGACACGTTGTTAGAACGATAAATGTTTCGCCCATTTCAAGTTGTTGCTTGATGTGAAAACTTATGTTCGATTTTTAATTATTTATAAAAATATATATCTACAATATAGCTTCAGTGTATCGTCTTATCAGACGGAACGAAAATTGCTTTTAGAAGGAGCAGTTGTTGTAGAATACACAATCAATAAAGAAAATGTCTATTTTTCGTATTATTATTATTATTATCAGTGGTCGCATTACTATTATAATATTTATATTACAATTGAATGCATTTTCACGGTATAAAATCGACTTAGGATTTTTTACTCAAATCCACTCGACTCCAGATCAAGAACAGCTCTCTAAAAGGAAGTACTTTAATGGAGGTTACTCTTCACAAAATGTGTAAAACAATGTACACAAATGTGATTACGCATGAAGTGAATGGTGGTGAGCGTGATAGACAGCGGGGAGTTGACATTCATTTTCCCATTCCCCAGTCGAGAGTTAGCTCTTCGCATCGCGCGAAGTTCGTCGCGAACGAAAGAATGAATGACTTCGTTTGCTTGAAACATTGAGCTATGTTTGATTATTAACCTTGAGTAAATGGCCGTAATAGCTCACGTTCACTTGCGGGAGGCGTCTCTACTTCGAAATTACCACTAGTTATTGATATATAAATAGTTTGAGATTGAAGAATAGAGAGTGCTGGACATTTTGATGCATTTTTTTTAAGGACGAGAGGAGGAAATGATGAAAGTTCCTTCTCACAGAGATTTAGAATCTTATTTTGTGTTGCTTAAAAGCGCGCGTTGGTTAAAATCTAATTAAAGTAAATTTCGTGATAATAATATCAACTGAATAAATGTAAATGTTTCTTCTAACATCAAACCAAATATTTTGTTTTTTAATTACATTCAGAAGAATGAAACATCCGAAGACATTTTATTCCTTCATGTGAGAAACTACCATCAACTCCTATTGTATAATACTTTTGATTACTGCAGCTCGTTGTATAACGTTAGTGATATCGCTAGCTTGAATTTTTGTGGTGCATTGTAGTTCAAAGTACTAAACATGTGTATTAGAGATCATAAACTAAATCAAATTATTAGTTTGGTACTATTCACTAAACATGTTTTAGTTTCGTTTAGAGAATCAGACGATTAAAAATCGTAAGTGAATGAACGAAGAGAATTGTCAGTTTTGACTTATATTAAAACTTTATTTATGCTACAAACCGGGTTAAATAAAGACCTATATCTGCGGCTGCGTATCATTTGAAGCGAAACGTACAAAATTTGAATAGTGGTATATCAATTTCTTTTCTACAGCTAAACCTTTGGATTTGAAATATGTGGAATTACTTCAAAGTTTGAGATCGCAAAAGTGAAATAAGGAGAGGCTTCTTGGCAGGAATAGTACATTTTGAAAATTGGTTTTCTATCAGTATTACAAGGGGAGTTTTCTTCTGTTACAGAGAAACCCACATACTTCTTATGAAGCGCATTCATTCTATACTAAAATTTAAGCAAATACTTTGTACAAATTGTTCAAGTGGTTTACCTAGCACAATTAATCCATAAGATGCGTTTTTAAATATTTTTAAGTAGAAAATTTACTTACAGATTAGTCAAAATTTGGTGTTGAAATAAATCAACATCCACTGAACACGGCAACACTTATCTTTTCGTGGAAAACAACAATATGTACAGACATGCGGCATTGACATTTGCAATAGAGCAAATGGAGACAATAGTTTTAATTTTCTATTTTTTAAAAGTGTCACTCTAGGCGCAACAGTTATATTAATAATTATGGATATGGATGCTTTCAATTTAGCATTGAGAATGTAATGTTTCTATGTGCAGGATAAACAATGAATATGATTTTTCGAAGATATACTTTCGCTGAATAAATTCATTTTTCACCCCTACAAAAGTAAACAAACGCATTACACAACTGTTTACTTCATAAGAAATCCGAAAGTGAATCGTTTATGTCAGGCAAGACAAAGTTAACCTATAAGGCCTGAATATCAATGTAAATTTTTACTCGCTTGACGCCAATGTGTGGTCGTTCTACAAGGTGTCTTCAGGCATAAATTGGTGCTAAGGCTTTTAGGTATTGAGAATGATAATTTTTGACAAAAATAACATGTGATGCGTTAACTCCCAAAAGGACGGGACATTTGCCAATGATCAGTAGGATCCATTAGGAAACTAGTGCTAGATACATGCACATTCTGACGCAAAAAATATTGCGAGACAAATTGCCTACTAACCATAATAAATGGCAGAGTGTCTTCTCATCTGTATTCTCTCAATGTTATGAAAAGTTGTCTCACCTCTCTACATGCCTGGAAGATTGTTCATCATTATTCTGTGAAATTGTGTGGTTTGACCATCACTGAATTTTTAATCTGCAGAGTCAAGTACTACACAAACTAAATAAAGCAGAAAAGTAGAATTAAAGCAAAACAATTAGGTTTTAGCTTTTCAAGGTACCCCCCACCACGACTTTTTATAGTATGATAATTAGGTCCATAAACACGAGTAGGAAAAAATTCCGATTTTCTAATCGAAGAATATAATGAATAGATAGTAAACGTGTTTAGTGGAAAGTAATACATGTCAGTGTAGGATCTACTTCTTTTTAGAGTTGGTTCATTTCTTCTTACTTTGAGACTTTCAGCTATAATACATTAATTTGAAGCATTTCTTTTCAATCAAAACAGATGAAAGTCGCTGAAACACCCTTACAAGATCTTTGTTAAATCAAGCACTTCCAATGTGTTAAAATTAGTTCCATAGCAGAATTTTATTTTCCAATTTTTTAAAGAGATAAAGATTTTGCAGAGATGAATGCAGTGAAATGTTCACCGTTCTATATCGTCCAGAATGATTCGTGGGCAACCATTCTCATCGTCCTTATCACCTTCTGTGTTTATGATCTGTAGAGTTATTAAAACAGCCAAGGCCCTATTCAGCTATTTCATCTTTTCTGATTTGACATAAGAATGTTCAAATTAATGTATTATAGCGAAAGTCTCAAAGTAATGAAGAAAGAATCCCAACTCTAAAAATAAGAATTCCTACATTGGGACATGCGTATACTTTCCCATAAACTCTTTCCACTTCTTAATATATCTTCGATTTAGAAATCCGCGTATTTTCCTGCGCTGGTTTATTGCAGTGAATTGAAAGAAGAACCTGTAGGTCAAGACGTTAATTCATGATATAAAACTCACCACATTTCACTATCCCTTCGATTATGAGTAAATCCTAGCAAACTTCTAACTGGGCTGCCGCGCTGTTTCGGCAATGACATCTCAAATTTATGAAGTACTCTAGCTCTGAAGAATAACTACCTAAACACTTCATCCCTCAAGGGCGAAAACATGCAAGCCCAATCTCCCCTAGGACGGAAGCATACAAAACCATGAATGTTAAGGCCATACTATGCATTTTTTCTCTTGTGGATCTTGTTCTATATTGTTATATATTGGATTTTATTTTATACAAGCATGAACCGTGTTCGGTACTACAACAATCTGAAAATAAACTTATTCAAGAATGAAACCTAACCACACTTTATTTTAATCTTCCAGTTCACATAGCCCTCTGTTTACGGAAATGTCTCGAGAAATGCGCGTTTTTTTTAATTACTTCAAGCAGTGATCATTGATAACTACAACAACATTAGAATACACGCCAACAACACGAAGGGCTTCAAAAATTAAAAATTAGGGCCAAAAGGATTGCGTTCTTCTCATATCACTATCTCTATTCTATAAAACATTTTAGTGTATTACATCCATGCAAAACATGCTTCGGTACTACATAAATTTATCGATCAAACCTTTTTATGGACATGAAACTCCACAATAATTCTTATCACCTCAGTTCCCTTGCACATTTCTCAAAATCACATTGCAGGATGAAACATTCCACAATGATTTCATCACCTTAAAGAGTTTCCTGAGCATTTTCTGACAGCCTTAATCAGGGAATCACAATAACCACAATAATTCATTACCGCCCTCGACTTCTTCTTGCCCATTTTTACCCAATTTGGAGGGAAAGAAACGCTTAACATGGATGTTATCACCTTGGAGTTCTCGCTGTTTCCTCTTCCCTCACGTATTCCTGCGCGAGTCGGGAGCGAGTGCTCCGCATGGGCAGGGCGGCGTGGCCGGCGCAGCGAGGAGCGTAACTTGCGCAGAAGCGCCGGGCGTCGCGCAAGCGCGCAAAGGCAAAGCGCTCGGCACGCCGCAGACAGCGGCGGGCGCCGTCGCAAGGCACAGTCGACGCACGCGCACGCGGACAGACGCCACGGCCAGCACGCGCCGCGCGGGCACCTCGCATCGCACAACGCGCAGCTGACACGCGCGAGGCGCACGAACACTGCCCACGCGCGCGCACAGGAAAGCACAGGGCGGGGCCGCGCGCACGCGTTCAGCGCCGCCGAACGCACGCCTGGCACAATCACGGCGCGCGCACGACTCGGTGAACACGTTCCGGCACTAGGGCCAATTTGTATCTCTTGCAAATTAACCCCCTCATTCCGACGTTGCTGCTACTTCCACACCATCTCTTGTCGCCCCCACCCTCCTTCAACCATTACATGCACCATCGCGAGAAGCCAACCTCACGATAGCCAGGACGCCCAACATAGTTTGCCTCTCCTCCATAAGCACATGTCGTAGTATTGCGAGTTCGTGCAGTAGGGTCGTCATTTCACATAATTTCATCGTATTATTCAAAGAGTTATTTTGTAATATTCTGTTCGTAGTCAAGACAGCAGTTTTAGGGACAACTATCTTAAATGAAATTACACTAGTGTGGTTGGGCTCTTGACAAAACGGTCCCGCGGTAGCAGGATTTTTTCCAGTCTAGCTACCTAGTTAATCGATTTTAGCCACTGTTTAGAGGAGAATTACAGCGGCGGCTGCTCTGATCATGGTTTTTCCGTGGTTTCTCTGAACAACACCAGGAATGCGGAGCAGTACCCTAAGCATACAGGCCACGACCACGCAGGATCTTTGCTCCCCTTCCTGTTCTGTTCTCTTACTTACATACGCTTACAAACTTTTCGGAGCTCGGTGCTTGTCCTCGCGGGGCGGTGCGCCGCTGGTGTAAAATACCTACTTATCGAATCCAGAGGGGTAATATCACCGCCACCTCACACGATAAAACAAACTACACTTACGGGACTATACGCTTACGCTGATGACGCAACCGGAATCGTTGGTGGACCACCTACACCGCACATCCCGCGATGACCTTCACAGGGACTTAAATGACTTCAGCGTAACGCTCTCGGAATCCATAGCAATCAACCAACTTCCAGACGAGCGCCTCTAAGAGCGCCTTCCCACGACGCACAGCAGCGCGCTTGCGTCAGACTCTCGTTACGCGAAGCGGAGGAAGGGGTACACGCCAACCGCTAGTAGAATACACTTTAAATGGTAGCCTTCCACTGCGGCGCGCGCGTCGCCGCGTTTTTACCTGTTGGCGGTCCCTTCCTGTCCGTCGTCGCCGGAGGGTCGGCGATGAGCCTGCGCTTGACGGAAGCGCGCCGCGTGGCGGCGTGGGAAGGCGCCCTAGAAGCTGCTGCTCGTACCTGGGCGGGCGAGCGCAACACGCGGCGCCGGAGTCGAGGGCGCGCGCCGCCAGCACGCCCCGCCCAGCGCCAGCAGCTGGCCAGCGCCAGGGGCTGCGCCAGGGCGCGCCGGCGCACCGCCCCACGCACCACCGCCGGCGGCAGTGCCCGCGGCCCCGCACCGCACCCCCGCGCGCGCCACCCCCCACGCCACGGCAGCGCCACCAGCCACAGCTCGCCAGCGGCCACGCACATGCGGCGCACGCGCCGACGCCCCTGCCACAAAAACCATCATCATCATCATATTATTATTATTATGTTATTATTTACTGTATTATTATTATATTACTTACTGTTATTATATTATTTATTCTTATTACTGTTATTACTGTTATTACTATTTTTACTATTTTTAACTATTTTTTACTATTTTACTACTTTACTACTTTACTACTTTTACTACTTTTACTACTTTTACTACTTTTACTACTTTTACTACTTTTACTACTTTTACTACTTTTACTACTTTTACTACTTTTACTACTTTTTACTACTTTTACTACTTTTACTACTTTTACTACTTTTACTATTTACTATTTTTACTATTATTATTATTATTATATTTTATTATTATTATTGTGACGATGTAAACGGAAATGTTTAGTTCGTACAGTAGCTACTTGCTTCCGAGAGTGTAAGGCTCCATTCACAATGCAAACGTAAACATAAACATAGCGCATAGACATAAACATTAACATAAGTATATACTGAAGTATTCACAATGCTTAACATAAACGTAAGCAAAATAAGAGTTTTCTATTGGCTGTGAGACATTCGGTTACTATTGGATGGATTGTGAGAATCGATTTCAAGTTATCGACTGTGCCATGCCCAAATGGAGCTAGTTCGTCATCGA